TCACATTCTCTGAAAAGTGGTCAATGCCCTCTCTCCTTGGGTTCCCATACTAACTCTGCCTTATGCGTTACTTTGTGTTCCAACCCTTTGTTTACCGATCTAGCTCATTCAGAGCTGTGGTCTTTTGACAGCAAGAACTGTCTTACTCATGGCGATAGCCCTACTACCCAGCATACAGTAGGAACTGGATAGGCATCAAACACATTAATTAATTAGGACATAAAACCCACTGCCTAGCTCCCTTACTCTGCAAGCCGTGGAAAGAGATGGCACATGTGGGGCTTATTCTCAAGGTTCAGGAACTGGATACATGCTAGGCTTCATGGAGTGTGGGGAGCCAGATGAGCAGGATCAAAAGGCAGTTATTTTTTTCAGTCCCATGATTAAAACTCTCCTGAATGCCGCAGGATTACAAGAGCCTGGGGATCAAGATGTCAACACACTTCCTGGGGGAAAGTCCCAGCCCTGCTGATTTGTGTGTGGTGGGGCTTGTAGACCTCCTGCTGGGGACACAGTGGGATCCTAGCACAAACCAAACAAATAGTAATTCTGCAACTCACCCCCGCACAGCATCACTGACCTCCCCTCTAGGTCAAGAGCTAGCGCTGAGGTTTGGGGAACAGGAGGCGAAAGTGTCTCCATTTTCCAAAGTGACTTCACTCTCTCAGCTCTGCTGCAGTAAGTGACCCTAACCACTGCTTCAGGTCCCAGGAAACTCATCAGTTTTCTGGTCAAGTGTGGCCATGGCTTCAATGCAGCCAAAGACTTCTTCCTGAGGTCTTGCTTTGTCCGCCCTCCCTGCACTCATGTCTATGGATTCTGAGTTGAACCATCTGGGTGCACCCAAGTATTAACCTGTTTGTTGTTGTTGTTGTTGTTGTTGTTGCTGTTTTTAGTAACTTGTCAGATTACTATACAGCAGGAGCTGAAAACCAAAACTCTAAGCAATAAACTAACTAGCTATTTCTCTTTTTTGTCTTAATCTTCACAGTGGTGAATCGAAAAAAATCGAGACCTTGTGCCATCTGCATCAGTCAGAAACACAGAAGTGTGGCTTTTAAGTGACTTGTTAGATCCCTTGCCTCTCCCTTCTTTCTTAAGGTTTTGCACCAATCCATCTGTGTACCTCTGGTTTATGAACCAAATGGCTGCTCCCCTCCACCCCAGGGATTATTGTAACATCACCCTTGTTCACCCCAATTCACAAACCCTTGAGGTTGAACACCTTCTTCAGAAGATCACGTGGGGACAGAGAGTGTAAGAGACTCACTCTTCATTCACTTATTTATTCTTTTATTGAACAGGCAGGTGCTGAGTATGCATCACAGGTCAGACATGATGGGATACAATGGTCAGAAATACTCAGAGCGGATCTATAAAAAAGATAGAACTGGCATATGTCGCTGGCATTTGGCAAGAAGCCTGAGCTTAGCTGTTTCTTCCTTTGCTCTCATATGTCACCCACCACTAATTCCAGATCCATGAGTGCATGTCCAGGGCTGAGACTGGCTTTGTGAATCTCTTTGCATGAATACTGCCGCTTGTCACTTACGCTGCTCCTTGATGTTTCACACCTGCTCTCTTTATCCACACATGATTAAACACCAAAAATCATTTACTCAGAAGGGTTGAGGTCCAAGTCTTCATCCCCAAAATAGACTTTGTTCCTATAGAGATGTTGGTTCTGGTTCCATGTGGTAATTGTGCAGTCTGCAGTATGGTTCTGCCGTGGCATATCCACACAAAAGGTTCTGATTAATCTGTCCCCTCCCCATTTAACACTCTTTCTAAACTCACAACTAGGGGTCGGTGGCTTTGTCCATTACATTGGCTCTACATGCCAGCACTAATGAAGATTCCTTCTAACACAGGATGCTCCCCAAATACCCAAATGGATGAGAAAAATATACTTCCAAATTGGGCTAATTAAAAGTCTAAAACAAAATGATTGTCTCCATCACAGATGTCAAGTGTGATGTCTATTCCTAGGAAAATTGCTGCCCAAGAATAACTCAGCAGCTGACATTAATGCAGCCATTGTTTAATCATTTTAAGTTTTGATTTTCAGTTTTTACTTTTAACTTTACAAATTAAATTGTATAACTACGTAGACTAAAGGGAACTCCTCCAGAGCCCATCAGATTGAAGCCCAGTTGAATGCCAAGGCTCAAAGTCCTTAGGGCTGCTTGAACCAGAGGATGAAAGTAAGGACCCCGACTGGGATTGGGATGGGGAAGTCAGAGCCCCATTCCCTTGGAGGTGGATTCAATACAAAAAATAATAATAAGGTACAAATGATCTACAGAAACTTTTAACAGGAGAAATATAAGCAAAGCAACAGGTCTCGGGGGCATTCAGAAATAGAAGGGCATAAAGAAGTCTTTGAGACGGAGACATGAGCCACATGGCTCTTTCTGAGATGGGGGTAAGGCAAAGTGATATGTAAGATCAGTTGCTATTGTGTGCGTAATCCCACATCCTGGTAGCTTCTCTCATGTATTGGGAGTGAACATTTTTTAATGCCTATTTTCAACGTGAGTTTGGCATGAGGATAGATTGACATACTGAAGTGACTATTGCAGGCAGCATTTGAGAAGAGCAGGTTCTGCCACCAGCAGGGGTAGACGTCAAAGCCTGTTTCTGCTATGTCGCTATGTGTGACCCTGGCCAGACTGATGAACAGCTGTAGACCTCAGTCCACTCGTCTGTAAATTGGGGCTAAAGGGGTCTGCCTCACAGGATTTTGTGGGGATTAAACCAGATACCAAAAGTAAGTGGGATTATCTTTTCTTCCTCTTCTAATAGTTTTGGAAGAAATAATTGTCAGAAAAAAAGGCAACAGAGTTGACTGAAAGGATGAGTGTGTAAGCTAAAAAGACCTAAGGCATTTAAAGAATTTGGAAAAATGTACCTACTACAGTTCAAGTTCTTGGGGCTTCTTAAAAGATGAACTCAGATGTGCCCTGGCCAGTTTGGCTCAGCGGTTAGAGCATCAGCCTGCGGTCCAGAGAGACCCAGGTTTGGTTCCCACTAAGGGCGCGGACCTCGGTTGCAGTTTGTCCCCGGCCCTGGTTGGGTCAGCTGGAGGCAGCCACTTGATGTGTCCCTTTCACATCGATGTTTCTCCCTCTCTCTCTTCCTCTCTCTCTCTCCCACTCTATCTGAACAAAATATAGAAAAATGTCCTCGGGTGAGGATTAAAAAAGAAATAAATAAGCATTTCAATAAGTGTCAAAGGGAGGGAGGGAGAAGAGGGAGGAAGAAAGGAAAAATGAATGAAATAGACAGCAATGTTTTTCATGAAGAGTGAAGAAAGCTTCTCAAACAAAATAAATAAAATATGAGAGCTTCCGAGAAAATTTCAGTGGAGGACCCTTGGAGATGCCGATGAAGTTAGGTGTTCTGGGCAGAAACATGCCTCCACGTGAGGGCGGTGGTAGCTCGGAGAGAACCCAGGAGGGAGGGAGCTGGACCCGACTCCACATCTGGGAAAACGCTAACTCCATCCCTGAAGGTGTGTCCAACCAAGCGTCTTCAAGAAAACACTGCCGTGGGCTGTGTGACTGGATGTCCCCATTATTATCTCCTCTAAAAGGCGCCACCAGAAGTTTTGTGGGCCCCCCATTTCCAAGTTTTTATTAATACCACATTCACCAGTTCCCGCAAGAAAGCAGTGTTGGGCCAAGTTTTCATAACTGTTTATTCATTATAAATAGTAAATATTTACTGCACTTTTTACATGAAAGACATTTTACAACACATTGTTGTTGGTTGAGGCTGCAACACAAAGATAGAACTTCTCTCCATCCATCACCCACTAAGACCAAGGTATGAACTAAACTCGGTACTATGTCTAGTCTCACTAACTCACTATGTCATAGTTCTTAACTCTAAAGGGAATGTATTGGTGCCTACCTCATTCATGGTTCCAAGAATAGAAAGAAATAAATAACACTGCCTTCCCCTTCTTGTTCCTCTGAACATCTCCAAAGACAAATTTATTGACATTCTAAAATGTCACCACACAAGTGTATGTAAACCTCAGCTCCTAGAATCTTTTCTTTATTGGATATTGTTGTATAATTTAAAAGTACACGAGAGCCATGTGGACATTTCGGTCCTCGCCCTGCCTTTCCTAGCAAAGAGAAGAATGTAAACGTCGTCATTTCAAAAGCATCATTCTCGAACACGGTCTCTAGTGAAAAGGAGCAAGCCGGGCTTTGGTCGTCCAGCAAAAGGCGAACATCGCTGCATGCGACCACGATGAATCCTAGGCTGCGAAAACAAAGCACCTGCAGAAATACAGTTCTGGGTCTGTTCCTATGACCCCGGCATTGCCAGGGCGTCTGTGAGGTACACAGTATTGCACACCGATAAGCAGCTGCGGGAATGCGCTCGCTTCTCTGCCCCCCTCCACGCCCAGGTGGGCGTCCACGTGAAATCGAATGGCGACACCTGCGCACACCTCTCCCCCCCTGGGAGAGCAAGCCAGCTCCTCCTCCTCTTACCCCTCGTCCCACCAGCAAGATGTGTCCTCCGGGACGTTGAGTAACCACTGAAGTACAAGTAAGGATGAGATAACAAATAATTTATTCGGGAGGTCCTTTACATCTAGTCTAACTTTCTAAAAAAAAAAAAAAGGTGGCATTTATTTTTATATCAATTTCCAGTGTGTAAAAGTCAAGGATTCCTCCATTCCTGCTTCATTCAGTGAGCAGTTTAAAAGGTGTAGATGGGTCAGCATTGGACATCGATCATGTTATACTTTAGAGAATTCTCCGACTATGTCTTAGAACATTCTGCTTGCCCGAACCAGTCCAGACAAACCTCTCTCTCTCTCTCTCTCTCTCTCTCTCTCTCTCACACACACACACACACACACGCACGCACACGCACACACACACAAATGGAATGTTTTAGCTCCTTGATCGTCAGCACTGAAGAGGGGAGATTTGATCTGTGGCCATGCTAAATCGCTGCCTTAAATGTTGCATTCGTCTTTATCGTCCTGGGTCTTCCTTTTCTCCACGGCTCTTGTCCAGCATGTTCAAAAGAATTTGAAACCAACTACTGGAGAAAGAAAATCAATCATCCTCCTTTGTCTCTTGTCGAGACTGCCCCCCAAGAGGGTGATTTTTTTTTTTTTTTCTGAGAAGATTCTTCATGTCTCGACTGTGGAGGCCGGAAACAGGGCCAGTTTGAGCTCCGAGGGGACAGTCCACTTACGCGATATCTGGCTTGAGATAATGAAAGGCACCTGTGAGGAAATACACACAGCTTTTTAGGTCATGCTGGGACAATTCACGGCACGGGGCAAAATCAGCTACAGGCTGACAATGTCATATTTAATACCGCGGTATCAAAGGATCGAGACTAATATTTTTATTCCTGAGACAAGTTTGACACAACTCTGTGTCTTTGGGATTTGACCTCATTAAGAACATGTGTTTCTAATGCCAGGGGTTATTTCATTTGGGCCAACCCTTGTGTTGTACCTAGTGGCAATCGGGTTTCACATCTCAGCAATTAATAACCGCAAGATGTTGTTGACATCCGTTAAGAAAATAATTATACAAGCGCGTTCTTGCTGGAACAATCAGCCGGCCCTGCCACCAAGTTGATCCTGGGATGCAAGGCTGAATCGGGCCGCCACCTCCCCTGTCTTAAGGAAGAGATGGAAGGTTTTACTCCAGAAGTAAATACCCCTCTAGAAAGTCCAAGGCTTACTTTGTCCATACTGCCCATACTGGTAGCCTGTGACAGGGTCCATACTGTAGCCTGTGGTACTGTAGGTGGGTGGACAGTAGGACTGAGATGTTGGCAGGCTGTCCAAGCTCTTCATGTGGTCTAGTCTCTGACTGCAGCTGGCCGACACCGTGGTGGTAGGTTCCAGGCCCCCAGTGAGAGGCGAGAGAGCGTAGTCGGTCTGGGGCTGATGGGGCACCCCGCCGTGGTTGGTCAGGAGTCCCATTACCTAAAGCAAGAGGCAGATTAGGAAGATGTGAGGCTGTGAGGAGGACCAGATCATAGCCTATAGCTGACAGACGACAGGAAAAGCCCCACGTTTATTTCTTTGGAAATCTACTCTTTAAGAGCTGTCCGGAAGATGCTGACCTCAAGTCACAGTGACAGGGGTATTACCTCATGCCCAGTGATAACATCTGACTGCAGGCTCAGAGGAAGGGGAGGGGAGGGGGGAGGAAGGGAAAAGGAGAAGAAGAAAGGAGAAGGGGGGAGGGTTTACCATGCCCCGAGTGATAAAATCGGACAGGGATTTCAAAGGCGAAAGGAAGGAGAGCCACATGACGTGGGGACCCGGGGACGGAGCAGGGAGAAGTTAGATCTGTTCACATCTGACCATATGTTACATCTGTTTCACGTGTGATTTTTAAACAGGAATTTGCTTATATTTCTTTAAAGGTAAACAAATTCAAATCAAATTTTTCTCCTGTATTTTGAGACCTCTGTGTCTTTTCTCAAAGTAGTCTCTCTCAAAAGAGTTCCTCCCTATCTTGTGTGTCTTTCAGTAACTGGAAATAACTTCTCCACCCCCAATGCTTCCTTGGACTTTCTCGCCTCACCCCCCACCCCACGCCGGGAACGCATCACTTCCGTCACCTACATCGAATTGTGAGCGACTTGAGGGGAGTAACCTACTAAGCTTTATATGCCCAGCACCTAACAGAGTGTCTAGAACCTATTAGGAAAGGAAGAAGGAAGAAAGGGAGGGAGGGAGGGAAGAGAGAAGGGAGGAAAAGGGGAGGAAAGAAGAAGGAAGGGTAAATGATTCTCCAATTAACTGCTTCCATTGTTTATTCTTCCATTTCCTCTTTAAACTAACATTTTATATAAATAAGTGTTAAATGAAAAGCCTGAATTGCAAACATGTTATTAAAAGTCCACACAGTTTTTGTAAATAACCTTAAAGAGCAAGAGAACTTAAAAAAAAAAAAAAAAAAAAAAAAAAAACCTGTGATAACAGAACAGCTTTCAGATTAGCACAGTGACATGTTTCACAAACTCAAGCTCGCTGACCCTTGCAACATCTTGTTTCAGAAGTAAGTGGATAATTAATTTTGCAGCTGGAAACCTATCACATGAGAGAGGAAGTGATTTTTCTCAAGTTCATACGACTCAGTGGCAGGGCTCGGAAAGCAATTGCAGAAAACCTTGACTGCTGGGTGACGAGCCTTGTGTGCTTACAAAATACCACCTGCTCACAAAGCGCGTCAATGCAGGGCCCACGATGGCACAGCACCGCCGTGATACTCCTGTTGCGTTTCACGATGTTTGAAGGACACGAAGCTTACAGTGTACACAGGAGAGCAGGAAGGGGGGCAGCGATGAAACCCAATGCCCGACTCTAGGCCTTGTGCTAACCTCCAAGAAAATCCAGGCCATAGGCGCTGGGATCTAGGGGTTCCAGCAAGGTGGGGGAGCTGGTCTCGCATCCCAGAAAGCATCCGAAATTAGATTCCCCAAAACAATGAGGCCACAACCCCTTTGGGAAGAGTATGCATAATCCTCATAGCTAAACAAAATCTTCTTGAAATAAAGCTTTAGACTAATCCACTTTCAATTAACCCCAAGGGATGAGAGAGAGACAAAGAAGGAAGAGAGAAAGAAAGAAAGAGAGAAAGAAAGAGAGAAAGAAAGAGAGAAAGAAAGAAAGAAAGAAAGAAAGAAAGAAAGAAAGAAAGAGAGAGAGAGAGAGAGAAAGAAGGAGGGAGGGAGGGAGGGAGGGAGGGAGGGAGGGAGGGAGGGAGGGAGGGAGGGAGGGCATCTTCTATGCATTACCCATCTCCACTTCTTTGTAGTATCCAACTTTTTAAAGCCATTCCTAGATTTTTCTTGAGCTACGTAGTGAAATATCTTTTATAAAATCTCTAAAAATTACGTATATTCCAAAAAACCATCATATGCAACAGAGCATAGTTTTGTTTTATCAGTGATTTGGGGGAAATGAAAATCACAGAAGAAAGCAAGAATCCCGAGGCGTCGCAGATCCAGAAGAAGGGGCCGCCACTCGAGTCTGGGCTCTCAAGCATCCGTCATGAAGACATAGACTTGAAAGTCAGTCCGCGGTATGTCGCTTTAAGGAAGAAATGGAACACTCTACATACAGTTATAGTTGGAGAGAAAAGCAGATTTTATTCAAAACATGCACACTCTCCCAAGAGCTATATGTACATGTTTGTGATAAACTTTTTTTAATCCTCTGCCCTACATTTCTTGTTTGCATAGCTTTGAAGGCAGCAATAACTTTGACCATGGGGGGAAAAACCAACCATGAAGATTCTAAATGAAGAAATGAGTCCTTCCTGTAGGCAAAATTCAGCTTACGATGTCATGGAGCAACTTTTTGCAGTTGCTAACTTACAAAAAAAGAACAGTAGGACAGGATTTACATCTGAGACCTTGAAATATGTCTGCTGGAAGGATGGAGATATCTGCCAGAGCCATATTCTAGGGCAACAAAAAGACAGTTACTCAAAGATTGTCGGGCACAGTGCCGTGAAGACATCCAGAGCCTGACCCAGTCAGGAAGGACGGACACCGAACAGAAGTTTGCTGGGTCTTCCACCAGGATTGCCACCTGTCACAATGGAAAGCTTAGTGACAGCTTGCGCTTTTGCAACGGCTTTAGCTCAGTAGCCCAATACTTGCAGTGGCTAATGGCGAGACATTAAGAGGACCAGAGACCAATTATCTCTGGCCCCTTTGACTTCCCTGATAGAGCCCGAGAAACAGACACTCTCCCACAAACTCTTATTCCACAGCGATTGTCACGCATTGCACTTGTGACTCGTTTCTCAGGAACTGTATGAGGACAGGCAAAGATGCACTCAATTTCTCCTACGTCTGGTTTGAAATTAAAATTAATACATAATTATAACTAACTCAGTGCCTTTCAGTATTTCACATGGACAAGCCTTGAAAAATATACATATTTTAATAGCTTGTTATTTAAAAATTAAAAGTGAAATCTCTGTTAAAAAAAAATAGTGAATATATAAATACAAAATACATTACTTTCCCCTAACATAATTTAAAACCTCAAATCTCTGTGGAAGGGTCCCCTTTCAGTTTTATGTACATTTCCTTCAAAGCTATTTGGTATTTCATGTGGTTCAAGGGAAGCTATGAAAATTTCTTTCTGCTGCACAGGAAGATGGTAAGCAAACTCCTTGGAACTCCCTCAATAAGATCATGGAATGTCTTCCAGCCGTATTTTCTCTTTTAGAGTATTGTCAGGATTTCTTTTCTATATGCTTTTCCTACAGCAATTGTAATTCAAAACATAAAACGAAATCTTAATTTGTTGCAAAGTATGTCTCTCCACACCCGTCCCCCCATAAACCATTAGTAAGTTATTTCTACTACAGGAGATGGCATTTTTGCCTGATTTTTTTTTTTTTTTTTTTTTTTAATTTGGGCTGGGGGGAACACAGTTGCCCGAATTTCACAAACGATTTCAAAGAAAAAGAAATATACTCAGGGCTACTCAATTCTGTCTACAGAACACGGACCACTTAGTCAATGACAGAAAAATCCATGAGACACAAGGACCAGGAAAAGGGTTGTCCTTTCATGAAAACCTCAGTTCTGTCCTTTGGGAAAGGAACATGGAGAAGGGCTTAGTTTTCACTTTGAATTGAGTACAGTTCCTAGGTGAGGCATCTGAAAAAAAATCAACTAAGGGTATCTCTCAATTGTTACCTCCAAAACCATTTCCCAGACACCGATTCGAAATTGTTTGATGGAGAAACTTTACAAACCAATCCCAAGTCTTAGAATCAAAGCTGATCTTTTCTGGCCAACTCCTTGGTCATCTGCATTATTAGAGACATTTCCTGAAGATCTCCTTAAACTCATTCTCAGGTTTCAGAATTCCAACTAGGTTATTTATATCTTGATTGGAAGATTGTATGGTTCAGGGAAAGCTAACTCTTTACCATTGCTTCATGCCACATTTCTCTTGAATTAATTTTCCTTTTGTTAAGATTAAATGTAAAAGATAAAAACTATTGGGCCAAATTAAAAGTTACATTTAAACAATGCGTCTGAAAAATATTTGTCTTGGCGTACGCATTACGGTTCGCCTTCAGTTGAGAGTACTCGGGGCTAATCAGAAATCTAAAATGATTTAGCAAATTATGGTGTACACCCAGCCACTTCTCCTTTTTTTTGTCGTTGTTGGTAGAAATCCTGGTTCGTGTCCTTTCTTTCTTTCTTTTTTCTTTCTTCCTTTTTCTTTTTTTTCTTTCTTTCTTTCTTCCTTTCTCTCTCTCTCTCTCTTCATTTATTTTGTTCTTAAGTCACCAGATGTTCTTCTGACTTAACATTTAATATCATACATGTAGTTGATTTTAGAAGACCATTGTGAATAACAGCTTTGTTTGATGTCAAGGTTTTTTTTAAACCTTCTACTCATCCCTCCAAAGTTTCCTGACAAAATACATTTTTAATTTGGTTGTCCAAATTCTGTAATTTATTTCCAGAACCAAAACTGATTTTTGCCGATAAGGGTGCTCACGAAGTCAATGGTTAAATCTCAGCAACTGCATCTTCCCGGCTGAAAAGTTACCCTTGAACAGCGGAGACTCTCCAGAAAACGTGGTCTTCAGATTCGAATGCCTTAGGAATGATCCTGCAGTTGATTAGCATCTAAATAATTAGATTTTTGGCCCTGTCGGTTTGAAAGCCAGAAGAGGGAAGTCGCCTAAAGGCAGAAGTTTCTCTTAAGGTAAGTCGGTGACCTTCTCACCCAGACCAGAGTTAGGGGAAGGGCATGGTGACCTTTACCTAACCAGAGAGAAACCCAGTGACTACAAAATGTCCAGCTAAACACACCCTTATTTTTTTTTTTAAATCACTAGCTCACATTTTACAAGTAGCTATGTTTAATGCATGATGAAAGAGTATGAGTACCAGACAAGTGTGTTTCAGATGTTGCATATATTTTCAAGTTTT